GCAGGGTGCAGCCCCTTCAGGAGAAGTCAGAGCTTGAAGAAGAGGCGGCTAGAACCTACCTAGGGCACCTGGTGGCATCCTTCCCTCCGCAATGAATTACATCCTGAGACTACATTGCCTTCTCAAAGTATGTGAAGAAGCCTAATGCATTCATGGACTTTCCTGTATATTATGGAGGAGCAACAGAGAAGAGGTTCATACAGCCAGCAAGAATTTCATGTATTTATTACATATTTCAGATGTCTTTTTCTATTATCGAGCCATGATTTGTGCTTCCGCAGTACCAGACTCAAGGCTGCATGGACATAACATGTCATTTGCCTGAAATGGTAACAGAATGAATTGCTAAAAACGAGATGCACTTCATAGCTTCTTTCTCCCCTGGTGCTGCATTTCAGCACAGAGAAAAGAGATTTGTAGTAAGCAGGGGAGTGGGTGGGTTCTGGCCAGAGGACACTGCGAGCTGTGGCTGCCACCAGTGAGGCTAAGGCTGTGACAGTGTTCACCTGTGAGGTGCAGCCCAGCCCTGGGGCTGCACAGAGGGTCAGAGCCCATCACTCTCCTCTCTGGTTCCTCCAGGCCATGCAGCAGCTGTGCCTGTGCCACGGGGACTGCTGCCAGCACTGCACGCAGCATCGCAGGCAGTGTTTGCTCAGAGCCTTTGTGAAATGAATGGGAGCTGCACTTCTGGTTTTAAATAAGCTTTCAACTCTCCTCAATACAAAAATAAACATGAAATTCAAAAAACAAAGCATGCTGGTAGCTGTGCCTCTGTGCAAACCTTTACAAGTCCCCGTTTAACAGCCCCACGGGACAGCACGTTCTGACTGGAAGCTGAAGGGGCACTGCAGCATCTGCACAGCCTCACGTTTGCTTTAGGCTGTACAAACAGAAAACCTCACTGGGGTTTAAAGGTTAGAGCAAAGCAACAGCTGTTCCTTCTAGTATAAGGTCAAACAAAGAATTTGTAAGCAGAACTGGACTCCTGCATCCATTTTGAGCAGCTCCACCCTGGAAAGGGAGTTCTGCTGGGCTGAACTATCTGTGCTGTTCCTCTGCCAGCCTCACGTTTGCTTTAGGCTGTACAAACAGAAAACCTCACTGGGGTTTAAAGGTTAGAGCAAAGCAACAGCTGTTCCTTCTAGTATAAGGTCAAACAAAGAATTTGTAAGCAGAACTGGACTCCTGCATCCATTTTGAGCAGCTCCACCCTGGAAAGGGAGTTCTGCTGGGCTGAACTATCTGTGCTGTTCCTCTGCTTCATTTTTTCCCCCTGCCCCAGCCACATCAGAGGCCAGAACTCCTCCTGGCAGGTGGTGGTTCCACTGTCCCCAGGGATCAAAGGGTCACCCTGGGGCTGCAGAACCTGCCTGCAGTGCTGGAGGGCAGGAGGATGGTACTGCAGGACTGCAAGTTAGAGCTGGACCAGGAAAATGTACGTGAACTCTAGGATTAGTCCAACCCTGAAATCAAGGTCAGGCCTGAAATGGGATCTTATTCTCATGCTTTGCCATTACTGCTCTGTCTGGTCAAGCGTCTTAAAGCAGCCTAAATGTAAATACATTTGAAATATTCTGCATTTATTCCTGATCCTCCTACTCTACTTTCACCACTTAATCAGTCCTTTTCCCTTAGAAAAGATCCTCTACTATCTACTTACCTCCTCAACAGGACAAAGAAAGAGGATTGACTTCAGCATGGAAGGATAGGACAAGCTAAAATTAATAGTAATAGATCACATCTAGAAAGCAGTTTCACATTTCACTGTACTTGTTTCTCACCAATTCAGTGCTGCCTGCAGAACAGCTCAGGGAAGAAACATTCCCCACGTCTGAGTCACACATTCCCTGTTGTACCTGCTGGGAAGGAAGGTGCAGACAGGCAGAATTGCTGCATTCAAAGCTGCTCCAAACTTCTACAAAGAAAAAAATTTAAAAGTCTCATATAACTGTCTCAGCTTTCTTGACTCTGGAAACAGTGCGTATGTAGCTCTAAGAGAAATCACCCCAACAAGCCTCTCAGCCATTGGTCCCTTTGAAAACAGCAGGAAAACTTAGACTTGGAGCTTTTTTTCCCCTTTGAGGCCTTGTACAGCCTATGACTCGTAACAGAAGCTGTTCTTAAAATGGAAAGAAATGCTGCAGCAATCAGTGTTTAGAAATACCAAATTCCTGCAAGTCTCCAGTTGAAGATGACACTGTACAGTGGTGCCACTCTTCCACTCTACCCTTACAGTGGCAAACGTGAGGACTGGAGTCCTGTTCTAGAGCTCACTCATCATTTCCTTCTGCCCAGCCCCACATCCCACTGGGCAGGGGAGCCAACAGGGGCTGACCAGGGCCCCTCTGTGCCCAGGGAGGCTGCTGCCCTGCCCTGCAGCACTCCCTGCTCTTCCTTCACTGCCCACACAAGCACAGGACCCTGCGGTGACGCTCCCTCCAGCTGTGCTCCCAACAGGGAGAGCCCCCAAGCTCCTGCCTGTCCCAGCTGAGGGTTTGGCCATTCCAAGGCAGCCCCAGCCAGAAAAGATCCATTACCCTGCACAGCTTCTCCCTCCCACTCTCTCAGGCCACTCCTGTCCTCAAGATCCATTCCATGAATTATTCCTGGTAGTACCTTGTTCCAGAATATCCTATTCAAAGGCCAAAGGCTCATGACTGGTCACTGTTCTTGAGAAGTTATGGTTCTCATTAAATTGGTTTCTTGTACTTTCCTGTTATGAACTGATAAATTGGGTAACAGTTACATCACTCCAGGAAGAGGATGGAAGGGCTGAAACCTGCTGTTCAACAGGAAAACCCACAGCTCAACAAAATCAGGTTTGGTTTGAGTGGCTTCGTCCAATAGCCCACAAAGGTAACCAGCAGAGAGCGGTGCCTGGGCGTAGTGCAAAACACAACTCACTACAGCCAGGGAAGCCCAAAGTTTCAATTAATTTTATTTTTTTTATTTTTCTTTTTTACAGTGTACATTGTTAAATAATGTAAAGAAAACGCTTGTAATTCAGAAACAGATTTTATGTGGAAAAAGATACTCAAAGTGTAATATTAAACGAAATAATTTAACAGTTCAGTAGCATTAGTTTATTCCTCTAGACTTCAGTTATTCATCCACAGGAGGAGAGGGAGGGAGAAAAACAAAACAAAACAAAACAAAAAAATCAATGGTAAATAAAACCAGTTCTTGCATAACATTAAGTGAAAAAACGACCTCAAACTTCTTAGATCAAAATTAAATAACCAGGTGCTGCATCCTGCTGCCCTGCCAGGAACGCTCCCCCTCGGCCCACGCCTGCCTCCCCTGTGCACAGGGAGTGCTCTGCACCTCCAGAGGGGAGAGCAGAGGTTCCCTGTCCTGTCTCAGCCCCAATCTCTGCCCCCTGAGCCTCCTGTCCCCCTCTGCAGCTCCAGCCTGCACTGTCACACAGCCAGCCCCAGCCTCAGGGCCACAAACTCCACGCTCGGGAGCTCATCTCCAGCCTGTGCCTGCCCAAACTGCTGGGGAAAGGGACAGGAACAAACCCATCTCGCTTCTTTCTTTGGACAAATCAGAGTGAGAACACCCACGGACACACGAACTCTCTATTAAGGTTACAGGGGGAAGAGAGCTCCCAGGAAGAACTGTGGGCAAGTAACACCTCTGCAATGCTTCCAGGACACCTGTGAGCTGCTGCCAAGCACCAGGAAGCAGAACCCACATCCTCCACAGCATTTTGCAGCACTGCATCAACACTGGCTGGTATCATTTTAACTTGGAAGAGGAAACCAGTATTTCTTGAATATGAAAGGGGAGAATGACCAAAGCCAAAGGTACAGTACAGGTACTAAGAGGTGACAGAGAGTGACGGTCCTGGTACCAGCTTGAAATTTGTTAAGAGTGAACAAAACTGTAAATCCTCTAGGCAAGCCAGAGGAAGGTTTTGACGCCGGCTGTTTTCATACATCCATTGCCGGCAATGGACGTTGCCAGGACAGTCTGTTCCTGGCTTTAATGAGTTTTACCAAAAAAAAGGTAAGAAAAGCAATCCCAGCAGACGAGCCCGTGCCAACAAGCAATGGCACCTCTCCCTCGAGTCACATCCTGACCAAACATCTTCACCACTTTGCAGGTGGAGTCAAACTGCACCTTAAGTTCGGCCTTTCCCAAAGACACACGTTCTCCCCATCCCCTCTCTGCTTCCATTTCTCTCCTGCCTCTGTAGACAATATTGGTTAGTCTCATTTTAGCTTCACCTGCATCCCTCTGTCCCACCCCACCTGGCCCTGTCACACCAGCAACTCCAGAGCTGCGCGCCCGGACGAGCCTCCCCACGGAGCTGCTCCCACCGCAGCCTCCAGGACTTCCCTCACACCTCCTGCCGCGCCGCGCGCGCCGCGCCGTCCTGCAGCCACCTGCCCTCGCCCCACCTGCGGCTCTGCTGGGACCACCACGCTAACTGCAGAAGCAATAGAAGTCCAAGGCACTAAAATATCCAGCAAGCATACTGGGAGAACAGACAAGTATTCAAGTACATTAATTTATACAATTTTACATTCACATTTATTTATCTAATACAATGAAAATACAAAGGAAAAAGTTAAAGTGTCTCCAATAAGTATAAGGATATAGCTAGCTTTTTTCCCCATTTTTTCTTTTTAATTTTTAACCCTCTATATTCCACTCATTTTTAAACTACTGTTGTCCAACAACATTTATATATCACAGTGTTTCCACATCAAAACTGATGGTAAGTACATGTCCGCAGGGAACTTTTAAAATTTTTTTAAACAATTTAAATTGCTCTAATGCTGCAGTCAAAGCTGTTAATATCTTACTTAAAGCAGTAATGACCTATCAAGCACGGGCTGCACTGCAAGTCCATCCGTGTGCCCCATCGTTTCCGAGCCACATGTGACTGACTGGGGAGAGGGAGAGGAGAGGGACTTGGACAGCTTTTTCCTAATCTTGGTTCTTCAGGGAGAGGCAAGAAGCATGCTAAAACCTCATGCTAGGATTCAGCTCTCCCACCTCGACACATGTGGATGCAGCCTCAGACCAGAGAACAACTTTACAGCAAGACTGCA